ATACTGTAAGATTTTATCCTCTCAACTGTACGTTGAGTTACAAAAACCAATAACATTCAATTCAATACAAACAGTGTCGTAACTAGGCAGGTGCAACGGGTACACCCACACAGGGCCCACTTGGAAGGGGAGCCCAAAATGCATGTATTTGTTTTATTATTTTCCCAAACCTAAGTAATTAAGGGGCCTAATTGCAAATTCTTGCACAGGGCACAAGAATAGCTAGTTACGGAACTGGATACAGGCAATAATCTCTCTCTCTCCCAAACATGTATTAATATATATAACCTCATTGCTCCTCCGCCGTGTTTATTGTCCCTCCAGGCAACGACGAGTGATGAAACATTCTAGAACCATACAAAGGATTTATAACCAATAATTTTATTTATATACATAATATGATTACTGATTATCAAAATACTTTGGGTTTTACTTTTGCTTTTGTATGCCTTATTTAAACTTTCCCATATTCCAGCTTAAAAATAATTTCAATCTATCATAAACTACCACATTCTTCTAGTTTTGGTTTTAATAACAGCAATATCATTTGTAAAAATTGTCTATATTCTCTTTATTTAAAACATTAAAAGTATAGATTAATATTTTGTGCATTATAATATATAAACTGGAAAAAATCTACAACTTTCCTACCTTAATTAGAGCTCTTGTAATTTCCTTTTAAAAACCCCGTTGTCTGACTTTTGTAGACTATGTTTAGAAAAACATTATGTCTGAAAGTTTAGAACTGCCTGTAACACAATACATTATTAAAATTTTTTTAGAATTTTATATTTATGACAAACTATTATAAATAATAATATAGTAACATTCATCTGTAATTTGTCTCACTTGCGTTATTGTTATTTCTGTTTCATTTTAAACCTTTGCCTTAATCTGTCATACAGAAATTAATTTTTTAGAATAATATATTCTATGTAAGTATTCTCTTTATTTTGTATTCTTACTGTTTCCAATGGCTCGACTGGATACATTTTTATTTTTATTCTAGCACTCGGGATTTCTTGTTTTCAAACAAATTGCTTAGAATCAATTTTTTCTTTTACAGATTCATTTGCAATTAATTTAAAAGACCAAAATGGCAAGCGCAGTTTGGTCTTTCAAATTACAGCACGCTGCCAGGTTTCGCACGTTTTCAAATTTAGACCAACGTCTGCGACTAAAAAGTTTTTTACATCAAGAGTAACATAACTGACTTCTTAAACAAGTATAATTTTTTATAGAGTGAATGTGTGTGTGTGTTTTTTTTCTTAAAGATTTGTTACATTCTGCAAGTTTGTTGTTTAAATCATGTAGATGAGTGTTCTAACATAGTGATCCAGTATAGGTTTTTACTTTTAATGTCTCCATAAAATGAACACCTGTGGACATAATGGAAAGTTAGGGGAAGTTTTACTTATTTGGCATGCACATGAGACAGAACACCAAGTGCCATGTGGATCAGATTAGACAATGATCACCAGATTCTGGTGTCAAGCTGGAAGGGAATGATAGAGAATTGATATTTGCAGAAATAGTATATTTAATGGATCTGGATAAACCCAGTAGCTGTTACCGACAGGAAGTGATAGAAAATGATAAACAGGAAAAGGGTTTTTGTTACTCAATGAGAGCTAAGTATCCTCTGAAATACTGAAGGATGATGCTTTTTGCTGGAGTTTTGGTTATTGTAGTGATTTATTACATTGTCTTCTAAATAATAAGAAAATTGTTATGTACAGTACAACAAAATAAATCACATATTTTAATGTATACATAGTAGACCTTAAAACATAGTAATCTTTCTTGTTGTTTCATGCCTGTAATAAATGTTTTTCCAAATCTTCTTAAGAGTTCTTCTGTTAAGAAGGCATTTATTACAAAACAAATATTTTTGGCTGAGAGAACCAAAATATATTTGTTCTGTAATAAATTACTGCAGTTTATGAAGATCAGTTATGTTACTTTACACTTAAATACTATCTATAAACAGGATTAATTAAAGAAATTTGTTTGTTGGTTGGCTTTTTTGACTTTAAAAGGAGAAATTTCTTCATTACTGCTACCGTTTAGTTATGAAAATTATAATAATTAATACAATTAGTGAAAGTATTATTGCCACTACTGTTCCTTCAGAAGACTGGGGGAATTCAGAAAACATTCATCACAATAAATAATCAAAAAGTAAGTAGTAAAAGATTCCATTATTCTATAAAATTACAATAGGGTCTTGTTTTAACTCTCTATAAGATTTGTGTGCAATTAAGCATTTGTGATCAAGAAGTTAGAAATTTCTATTTACACTGTTTATTTAAAGCATAAACATTAAAATTTTATGTCNTTTTCATCAAGATGGAAAATTTGGTCAAAATGTGATTTATGCGCGACAGCAGTCAATCACATACTGCTAAGACCAATATGGAACACCTTTTCAGTGCTTTTGGTGATCATCTGATATCTAACAAAATGTTCCAGTTGTTCCAGAGAAGTGTAGAATAGGCTCTCTATTTGCCAGATCTAAATGTTTGTGACTACTTCCTGTGATGTTATATGAAGAATAGAGTTTGTAGGACGTGTCCATCATTACCTGTAGGAAGTAAACAGCAAGGCAAAAACTCCTAAGTTTGCCTAATAGCAGGATAGGTAAAAGAATCTTATTCTGCTTTAAACCAAGAGATATCACAAGTGTTGTCGACAAGACTGAAAGCTGCACCCTTGTTTGAAAAACCACATTGAACATTATTTTCATGGAAACAATGAAAGGCAGAAAAATTGCAAACTTCAAACATTCAAATTCTTCTTCTTCTTTTTTTAAATACCAAACAACAAACAAAAAAAAGCATGCCACCTAGTTACATTCTCATAATGCACAAGAACCCTTAAATATGTGATGAAAAATCTCATAGCAAAACAATGATCAGTGAAGATGAACACTTCCAGAATATTATTTAGCCTGAAAAATAAAACAGGCATGTTTTCACATGAGAATGTATATTTATTAATCAATGTAATGAGTTCATGCCAATAACCAATAAAACTAGTTGGCAAATTGCTTGAAAGATCTTGCATATAATCTTTTTACCTTGTAGCAACAAACTGTAAGTTTATAATAGTTTGTTACAAAATAAATTATTTTAAACTACAACTAAGTTTTACAGATGGAAAAACAGTTTCTGGATGATAGATTTCAACAAAAAATATTAGGAAACATTCCGATAGTCTCCGAGTGAGCCAAACCAATTTAGTGCCAGCTGGATGGTGAAGCAGTTAGAGTGTCAGTCTACTTTCTGGGAGATATGGAAATAAATCTGGATGGGTTGAAAAATTCCAGGAATGTTTTGGCATGGTCCATCTCGAATATGTTGGGCCTCATTCTCCACCACTGTCTGCTCTGTTGTGGGCTTAGCCAAACCCAGAATATGCTTGATTAAAAAGCCATCTTTGTGCACACAAGGTGGGAAGAGTAAGAAAACCAATTACCAATTTAGCAATTACTAACAAATTTTATATCAAAACTTTTTAAATTATTTAATAAACATTAATTGAATTATAATTATTAAATGTAATAAGAGATGATGACTAATGCCTACCTCTAGTACCAAATTACTAAGTATTTAATAATTATTAGTATTTATATAAAAAATATAATTACTTTTCTGAAAAATGACTTTGGATCTTTAATTCAAAATGCTGATCTTTGAGGAAATTAGTCGCAAAGATTCAAAACGCAGTCTTTGGGATTGAGCATTTGCTTTTTCCATCTGGAACATTTGGTGAAATGCTTACATATTATTATTTTTTCCTCACATGTTTGAAATGTATTTAAGGTTGTACAGGCAATCCTAAACTTTGAAATAATTTGTTCTTTTGTGTATAATACTGTAAGATTTTATCCTCTCAACTGTACGTTGAGTTACAAAAACCAATAACATTCAATTCAATACAAACAGTGTCGTAACTAGGCAGGTGCAACAGGTGCACCCACACAGGGCCCACTTGGAAGGGGAGCCCAAAATGCATGTATTTGTTTTATTATTTTCCCAAACCTAATTAATTAAGGGGCCTAATTGCAAATTCTTGCACAGGGCACAAGAATAGCTAGTTACGGAACTGGATACAGGCAATAATCTCTCTCTCTCCCAAACATGTATTAATATATATAACCTCATTGCTCCTCCGCCGTGTTTATTGTCCCTCCAGGCAACGACGAGTGATGAAACATTCTAGAACCGTACAAAGGATTTATAACCGATAATTTTATTTATATACATAATATGATTACTGATTATCAAAATACTTTGGGTTTTACTTTTGCTTTTGTATGCCTTATTTAAACTTTCCCATATTCCAGCTTAAAAATAATTTCAATCTATCATAAACTACCACATTCTTCTAGTTTTGGTTTTAATAACAGCAATATCATTTGTAAAAATTGTCTATATTCTCTTTATTTAAAACATTAAAAGTATAGATTAATATTTTGTGCATTATAATATATAAACTGGAAAAAATCTACAACTTTCCTACCTTAGTTAGAGCTCTTGTAATTTCCTTTTAAATTGTCGGGTACAACCCCGTTGTCTGACTTTTGTAGACTATGTTTAGAAACACATTATATCTGAAAGTTTAGAACTGCCTCTAACACAATACAGTATTAAAATTTTTTTAGAATTTTATATATATGACAAACTATTATAAATAATAATATAGTAACATTCATCTGTAATTTGTCTCACTTGCGTTATTGTTATTTCTGTTTCATTTTAAACCTTTGCCTTAATCTGTCATACAGAAATTAATTTTTTAGAATAATATATTCTATGTAAGTATTCTCTTTATTTTGTATTCTTACTGTTTCCAATGGCTCGACTGGATACATTTTTATTTTTATTCTACTTGAATAAATACACCGCCAATGTAACTTGATTTCTTCGTTCGACATATGGCAGTCATTAATGTTTTATTATAATGGGATTTCTCTCTTTAAAAAAAATGGCAAGCGCAGTTTGGTCTTTCAAATTACAGCACGCTGCCAGGTTTCGCACGTTTTCAAATTTAGACCAACGTCTGCGACTAAGAAGTTTTTTTTTACATCAAGAGTAACATAACTGACTTCTTAAACAAGTATAATTTGTTATAGAGTGAATGTGTGTGTGTGTTTTTTTTCTTAAAGATTTGTTACATTCTGCAAGTTTGTTGTTTAAATCATGTAGATGAGTGTTCTAACATAGTGATCCAGTATAGGTTTTTACTTTCAATGTCTCCATAAAATGAACACCTGTGGACATAATGGAAGTTAGGGAAAGTTTTACTTATTTGGCATGCACATGAGACAGAACACCAAGTGTCATTTGGATCAGATTAGACAATGATCACCAGAATCTGGTGTCAAGCCGGAAGGGAATGATAAAGAATTGATATTTGCAGAAATAGTATATTTAATGGATCTGGATAAACCCAGTAGCTGTTACCGACAGGAAGTGATAGAAAATGATAAACAGGAAAAGGGTTTTTGTTACTCAATGAGAGCTAAGTATCCTCTGAAATACTGAAGGATGATGCTTTTTGCTGGAGTTTTGGTTATTGTAGTGATTTATTACATTGTCTTCTAAATAATAAGAAAATTGTTATGTACAGTACAACAAAATAAATCACATATTTTAATGTATACATAGTAGACCTTAAAACATAGTAATCTTTCTTGTTGTTTCATGCCTGTAATAAATGTTTTTCCAAATCTTCTTAAGAGTTCTTCTGTTAAGAAGGCATTTATTACAAAACAAATATTTTTGGCTGAGAGAACCAAAATATATTTGTTCTGTAATAAATTACTGCAGTTTATGAAGATCAGTTATGTTACTTTACACTTAAATACTATCTATAAACAGGATTAATTAAAGAAATTTGTTTGTTGGTTGGCTTTTTTGACTTTAAAAGGAGAAATTTCTTCATTACTGCTACCGTTTAGTTATGAAAATTATAATAATTAATACAATTAGTGAAAGTATTATTGCCACTACTGTTCCTTCAGAAGACTGGGGGAATTCAGAAAACATTCATCACAATAAATAATCAAAAAGTAAGTAGTAAAAGATTCCATTATTCTATAAAATTACAATAGGGTCTTGTTTTAACTCTCTATAAGATTTGTGTGCAATTAAGCATTTGTGATCAAGAAGTTAGAAATTTCTATTTACACTGTTTATTTAAAGCATAAACATTAAAATTATATTTCTCAATCCTCAGCAGTATCCAAATCAAAATAGTGTTTGCATGAATTGGATGAATTTGGATTTGTTATTGAGAAAATTAGTGTAATTGTAACACGTTATTAGATCTCTTCTGTACACAGTGAGCCAAAAGTCCTTGAACACTGCTTTCAAAAAATTATGGTGGGGTTTTTATGCAAATAAACTTAAAAACACTATATTACATATTGTAGTGTTCTCAAGACCCAAGAAACCTAACTATCACCGGTGTTGGAAGTGTCCGCCATGTTCCTGCAAGCATGCACACGGTGACACGTGTTTGTAGCTGCGCATCTGGTGAAATGTTATTGATGGTAGCGGAAATGTTCCCCTCTGAAGGATTGTAGTTCTCCCGAATTATCCCCGTACGTGTACCAGTTTTGCGAAACCAGGCGATTAAATTGTTACTCCTGGACTTGCCTACTCAAACTTATGATGAAATCTGTATGCATCGTGCATATGATTTGGTTTCAAAGTATGCCTCCAAAAGAAAAATCTGCTGTTCTTCTGAGACATGCTTGTGCATATGGATTAACTTGCAATTCAGCAATATGATGTTGGAAACTGGCAGAGGTTAGTATGTCATGTCTGCGTAAGAAGAGACGTCGGAAACAGTTTGGCATTTTCCCTTTGCAGAGCAGATTTAAATGCTTAGGGACATCTTTCCTTGTTTTCAAATGTTCTCAAAGATGAGAGGAAGGCGATGATTTTGGAAATTAATAGCACACATTAATGTCAATGTAAATACTGTTTATATATAGGCCTAGTACATATATTAAAATCAGTGTCTGGGGTCTCTTGGCTCACCCTTTAGATATAAATATTCCATAATTATAGACTCGACCACACAGCACGAATAAGACGTCATCCCATCATCATTGTTGGGATCAAAATTCAATTTTCCTTTCTCTAGCATCACTTAAACTCTGTATTATTAAGTTTGGATCTGTCCAACAAAGTCAAAATTGAGATTGACTGTTAATTAATTAATTAATTAATTCAAATTACGGAAAATATCATTTTTTACTTTTTAATGAAATAATTTCATCACTTATATTTACAGAATATAATGGACAATGATTTGAAAAGAAGAAAATTATTGAATGTTATACAATATAATGAAACTGCCATAATGGCGTTCAGAAACTACCTGATTGAAGAAAGAAATACAAGATGTCTAAGTATCTTTATAAACAAATATCAAGAAACCTTTTTCAGAAGGTACGTAAATTTATCATATATTCATCGAACTGCATGAGTTATACAATAGGTTATTCAAATTGATTTGGACCACTTGGATCTCTCCTAATAGTTGTGTTTGTAAGTTAAGTTTTCATTAAAAATTATTCTAAGTTGTTACAAGAATAAACATAATTTACTGTTTGAATATACGAAAAGTATAGTAATTGAGATTTCTCAACAGAAATTAAAATAATTTAAACAAAATAGTGTCTAATATTAAGAGATTCAACAGAAGCAACTAAAATATTAAGACACTTTTATTTAAAGAACAATTTCCCTTAAGAATTGCGAGAATAAAAGTGGTGCTTTGTCATTTCGGATTGTAGTCTTTTTAAATTATTGCAAAGAATTTGCAGAAGGGATTGGTAGGGTATTAATATAAAATAAGGTTGGAATTATGTCCTTACTATTATAAGTGTGACTGATCCAAAATAAAATGATTTACAATGGAAATGACAAAATCCTGTGCTGTTATCAGCTGATTACTGTCATCAAAACAGTTCTGATCATAATAAGCTGCACCCACTGTCAAAAAGGAGGAAGAAAAACATTCTAAATGCCGTAAGGATCGGACAAATTCAACGTAACACTTACATTGCCAATAGGTCAAATTAAATATTCGACTAATGTCCTTTCTAATCTGAAGATTGCTTTCTGCCTTTAGTTTGCATTGCAAGTATTTTTCTCTTTAAGATACTCTTTCGTATCTTAAATAAATACACCGCCAATGTAACTTGATTTCTTCGTTCGACATATGGCAGTCATTAATGTTTTATTATAATGGGATTTCTCTCTTTAAAAACCACAATTTGAAGATAAAATAACTGCAGGAAGCTTAAGTGATTCTCAGTTCAAAACCTGAAAGTTAGCCAAACTTTAACCGAAACCCTTCGGGTCGTTTTCTGGTTTGGCCTAAAAGTACGGGTAAGAAGTCATTTCGTGTAAAGATTAATTTTGAATTTAGAAAATTGGAAGGAAAGTGATCTCGACCCTGGACTGCTCACTACTCGGGCGCATTACTATCCACTATTCACTATCCAGACTTGGTAGCGGGTTAACCTATAGGGAAAAAGGACAATTGTCTGGGGCCACAAACCAGTCTTTTATAAGTATTTCTCCCGAAATTTCCTTCGAAGGAAAATATCACGTGTACACTGTACATGATGCCACCTAATTTAAGTTTGACTGGACCTCACGAAGCTACAACACACCACTGTTTAGACTTATATTATTCTTCACGTTAATGTTGGGCCTACTTCTTCATAGACGAAGTATCACAATACGTATTCAATTTTATTTGTATTAATTAATATATTTTGAAAGAATAACAATTGTTATTACCGTTTATCCATAATGCAAACAAGTTAATTTTTGATTTCAGATAAAATTATCAATTACAAGATGGGACCGACAGAAAAATACCCGGCGGAAATTGGATTTCGGACGACCACGTGGTGGTTGTTCGGTAAGAATGGTCGATGACAATACAAAGTGTAATAACGAATTTTCTATAAATTATAGAAGAGATAGGAGTTAGAACTGTACTGAACTACAGTACGTATCTGACAGAACTTTGTAATTCAAAGCCAACGGTCGAGAGGAATTGATAGATGAGTTTGATAATGGTACTCTCACTTTCGAAGGCAACTAGCATGCCGAATAATACTCGACAAAATGGATTTCGAAGGACCTAACAAAAGTGCAAGAGGAATTCTAACGGCGTGGACGGAGCGAAATACATTCTTTTCGAGCTTACACTTTAAGTAATCATTAAAGTGTTTTTTATAGCTAACTAAATCCCATTACGTAGTGAAGGCATCACAAGTTTGCTGGCCTCCGTGTTAAATTTGGTGGTGTTTCCGGTAGTTTAACAATTGGAAAGATAAAAATTCGGTGCCGTAATAATAGTTAAAACTAGAAAAAGTCGTACTTAACGGGATTAATGACGCGGGGTACGGATTTTGCAAAGCGATAGTTACGACAATACATCGATTTTTCCGTCCATCTTTTTGACATACGCGGAGTGATTATCTCGACATTGCTGAATGGAAACGTCCCGAGGGAAGTACAAAGAAACCTTTTGTAAGTAAGATAATGTCGGTATGTTTTTACTTCCTGCTTAAATGGCGGCTACGTTGGCTTATTCAACGCCGCGGAAATATTTATGGAAAATATTATTTATAAAAGTACGATGTATAAATAATTCCGGTGTGTGTGATATTTAATACGAGATTGTAACAAATTATCGGACAGGAAGTCAGACGCGGGTCGTCTGATACTTATTTGTTAGATAAATTATACATTCAGGATGCGGTGTTTCTGTCGCAGGATCCGTCCTAACTTGTAATTATAGAAATAAATGTTTTACAAAATAACTATAATTTTACTTTATATTTGCTTTTTACTTTTAGTAGGTGTAATTAGCTAACTTCTAGTTGTTTTTATTCCTCATCTTTAGTAATTATCATCTCAGAATTGGCTGGGATAAGATAAGTGAATTTATAGCGATTGTTTATATTCGATTTCCAAGATCATTGCTGAGGGGGCGGGATATTTCCTGGCAATTGCCTCCGTGAATCGCAATATTTTACCTTGTCCGAGTCGCAAGGGTCTCTCAGAACCGTGTTCTTACGTATTATAAAATTAAATTTTTTCTATCGCGTAAAAAAACTAGAATTTCTCCGTTAATTTCTTTCTGCACCTTTTCTTTTCTATCGAACAGTATAAATTACTTGTGTATTGACAAAATTACTTTTATAATATTTACTTTTACGTAAATTAATGGGGAAAAATGCGATTAATAAACATAGCGTACTTCAACTCACTGTAAATTACCTCACGTTTCGTCGATTGTCATCTGGTTTATTTGAAAATGGGGAAGAAACATGACTCGACGAATTCTTGTCAGGCCCTTTTGGCATGTACTGTACAAGTTAATTTATTTACTTTTTAAACGTTAGTACTATTTTTGTGAAGTAAAGAAATGCAACAAAACATTTTATGAAATGAAGTTGATACATTCCTTCTAGAAGAGCAAGTAATAATTCTTTCATTAAGCAGTTTTTTAAGTATCTTTCTCCCAGTTTATCGTCGCTAATAGTGAATCGTCCAGTTCTGTACCCGTTCACCACGTTTCTTCTGGACTAGAGTTAATATTAAATGTAAATCATATACTGTATTTATATATCGGTGGAGTGGCATGCGTGAAAGCTGTGAAAACGCCGTTTCACTTGTATTTTCTAAAATATAAATTTATTAAATATTTATATTTCATTATTATAATTATATTCATATTTATATAAATAAAAAATGTTAAATATATAAAGTTTATTTGACGGGTTTAAGAAGTAATGGAATTTGAGCGTAAGAAACTGATTAGNTATAATTATATTCATATTTATATAAATAAAAAATGTTAAATATATAAAGTTTATTTGACGGGTTTAAGAAGTAATGGAATTTGAGCGTAAGAAACTGATTAGAGATTTCACGCTGATTGGGTGAAAAGGGCTTTAAGGAACCATTAAAACTGGGCGAGTCGATTTCCCGAGATCCAGTGAGAAACGTAGGTGAGTCGAATAGTGACCAGCGTGGTATTTGTCATTGTTCTCGTTCTGACTCCCTGTAAGTACGTGTATTTTTAATGTTTTATAGACAGAAACGTTTACATAGACTTCATAAGGGAATTTATATATTTAATGTAATTATATATCGCGTAATTATCATTTTCTTTTCTGTATCTAACTGTTAATAATTCAAACGATATGTGGTCGTGTCCTTTGTTCGGCACTTGTGCTGTTTAGTGGGTACGGCTATTTGAGAGATTTTCTTCCATAAAATTAAACAAATTTACACAAATTTCACTCGAATATTTCCAAAACACGTATAATTTGTTAAAAGTGATTGATATAAAATATGCTACGAATAAAATATTGTCGGAATACTTATCGAGTGTATGCCGTTCGAAGACCCCATTACTTAAGCTTGTTTTCGTCGCGGAGCGTCACATTGTACGGCGGACGCGTACGAAGCGTGTCACGTGACATTTGCCGGTGCTATTCGGTCACGTCACTACTAATCTGACGTGTTTCCTGATAACTTATTCTTTTAACGAAGAATTCGCTGAACTTTAGAGATACATCATTAATAGAAATATTAAAACTTCATTCCATTTTAAATATGGATTAAAATCAACATATAATAACGTATGATAATGCGATAAATAACTAATAATTTTGTTCTACTTTTAAACGGCCTAATCTCTCATGGGATAAAATTGTATAATATTTATTTACATCAAGACATTACACATCTTACGTTGCATCTGATTAATATTTATCATCATAATATATATCATGATATAATTATTGTCGTTAGCGAGCGGTTTTTCCTTCGTTGCTTCGTATAGTCAATAATAATAAGTCGTTTCTAATTACAATAAAAATCCTATAGTATATTATGATCTATCACGCGATGTCTCTAAAGTTAAGCGAATTCGTCGCAAAAAGAATAAGTTATGAGGAAACACGTCAGAGGTGAGTAGTCACGTGATCGAATAGCATCGACAAATGTCACGTGACACGCTTCGTAATGCCTCCTTCGTTGATTGTTATATTCCACGAAGGAAACGAGCGTAAGCAATGGCGGACGAACGATGCAGGGTCTCTAAGTAGTCCTATTGTTTTTTCTTTATCGAGTTTTATATATCGGTCGACGGCAAAAAAAGTTTGGCTCTCTTTTGTGCTTTGAAAATGTCTAATGAATGTGTTTTATAAAAAGCAAATTAAAATAAATAGTTTTACGAAAAATAATTCTATATTTTAATCGACTTAAAATTTAGNTAATTACAATAAAAATCCTATAGTATATTATGATCTATCACGCGATGTCTCTAAAGTTAAGCGAATTCGTCGCAAAAAGAATAAGTTATGAGGAAACACGTCAGAGGTGAGTAGTCACGTGATCGAATAGCATCGACAAATGTCACGTGACACGCTTCGTAATGCCTCCTTCGTTGATTGTTATATTCCACGAAGGAAACGAGCGTAAGCAATGGCGGACGAACGATGCAGGGTCTCTAAGTAGTCCTATTGTTTTTTCTTTATCGAGTTTTATATATCGGTCGACGGCAAAAAAAGTTTGGCTCTCTTTTGTGCTTTGAAAATGTCTAATGAATGTGTTTTATAAAAAGCAAATTAAAATAAATAGTTTTACGAAAAATAATTCTATATTTTAATCGACTTAAAATTTAGACCTATGTATAAATTGCCTTATAGAATTCTTATATTTAACTAGAAAATCTACATAATTGCTCTTTTAAGAATTATATTGTTTTTGATTGTTAATTAAATATTGAAAACAACACATTATTAATTCCAAAATTAATTGTTTTTTGTAGAAAATTTTCAAAATGAATAACCAGGATGCATTGACAAAGATATTTTCAGGATCTGAAGAAATCTCATCTCGTGTGTTGAACATACCTGAAGTTCTACTACACATATTTAAATATTTAGACGATCGAGAATTACAACATTGTGGCGAAGTGTGTAGTTTATGGAAAGACGTCACCGAAGAAGTCCTATATAAGAAAATAGCAATCTTTCGTAAGGTAATTATTTATTTAATTTTTATACATCTAATTATTGTTACATTTTTCACTATATATACTGACAGCCTGCTTAATTTTAATTATAACAACAGAATTAATTATATGCCTAGTTTACAAAAAATATTAATGCAATTGCAGGAAAATAGTAAAAGACATATATTCCATATATTATATTAAAAGTTTATTAGAGTATCGATCATTCTACATGTTTGCATGAGAATGTATAATATGAGCATTGAATAATGCACACATATTTAATAAAGTAGGCGATTTAGACTGCAATTTAAAGTGTTTATTTGTATATAAATACAGTGACCACTCGATATAATAAATAATAATGTTAATTTTTGCTAGTCATTATGCTTATAATTAATTCGAAAGTAAGTTGTAGATTACAAAACTAAATTTTTTATTCTTTAAAAAGCTATATTTTTTAACATATTTCAACGCATATGCCGCTAAAACCATTTTAAACTGTTTCACAAAATCTAAGTACGTTTGCATGCCCCAATTAAGTGTTAAATTAGAATACCACTTATTAGATTTATACTCTGAAGCTATATTTTTAAAATTAGTTAAATAATTATCCACCATTCTTACCAACACATCAGACATAGTTACATGACCTTAATAACCATAAGTTTTTATCGATCCTAACAATTAATTATTCCATGTCAGTATCACATCAGTAGAAATCACATACTAAAAATCACTTTATTCCAAAAAAGATGTGTATGGGCTTCACCAGACTGCAAAATGGATCCATAACCCACAAGCTGACAAAGTAAAAAGTAACAGCTCACATTTAATATTAACGAAGACATACGTGTTAAAATTGCTGTATTTATTGTCTTCTTTGTATTTTAACTATTCATCAGTTTGAACAATAAACATACTTTTGATGTGATAAATATAAATAAGTAATTTCTCATGTTTTTACAGAAAATACCAATTACGATTCTGAACACGTTACCGGACAATTCTGAAAAACTACGTTCTGTTGTCGGATATAGTGATAAGTTTGAGTACTTGTGGTTTCATTTGGAACCATTTGATCTTTGCCATTCAGTGAAACCACATTCTCCTAGACTTTTAACTACACGGATAGAAGAGGAATTATGCCATGCACGTGTTTTTGTCCATAAAAATAAGGACGGTAAGTACTTGCATTTTTTACAACTATCGCTTTTATGATGACCAATATTCATGTTTAACCATTTATTGAATTATAGGAGGAAACATTCAACTACCATTTAATGTTCACTCACCAACAGAAGACGAAATCGAAATAAATATTGCAATGTTTCCATCAGTTCCAGGCTTCAATATTCGTCATTTTTCATTTACATCCAAAAAATGCCTTAGAATTCGTCTAGAAAAGATGCCATACGTTTCAGAGTTACTCCAGATACCAGAAAAGAAACTGAAGTGTGTCATCGGATTTACGGATTATGGGATCGATTTCCATGACGATGGGAATGGTGCATACAATGGTTACTCGCTTGAAAAACATATAACAAGGGGCATTGCTTTCTATGGTGAGAGAGTTCAGGCAGTTATTTTACGTATCGACCGCAGTTATTATTGTATCAAAGAAAATTTCGACAGACTAAAACGATTGAAACCTAAAATAGTGAAAGAGAAATGTTTCGCATTTATCTTTTTTTCGTATATAAGGAAGAAAGGTATAAATGAAATAGTAGAAGCGTTCAAAGCAGAATTTCCTTTCTTTCCCTTTCTTGTTCATCACTGTTCTCCTACATTTGTAGTGTTGAATCAACTCGAAAATTACAATTTCGATTGTGTGAAAAATATACCATTTAAAGAATTTGCACGTATAGTTTTTGTATGGTACGAATGAAAATGTAGTGATAAAATGCAATATTTTTCTTCTCTTAGAAAATTGAATTATGTCACAACATTGTACAGTACATTCCTTTGTATTGGAATAAGTTGTTTTAAAAATAGTTTATTGTATTGTAGAGTTTGTGGTTGTGTAAATACTTTTGTTTTGTATAAATAAATAGTGTTGTATACAATTTTAGATTCTTTTATTAAACGATTTAAATAGGAAAAAAATTTGATTTCTGCTATGATCATTCTTAATATTTTATAAATCTCTGAAAGAATATATTTAAATATCATAATATTGTGACTGTTTTTAATTCCCGAATCAGTAAAAACGTTTTTTCGAGACTCGAAAATTTGTTTTTGTAAATGTTATATTAATTTTATTGTATTTAATTAGTATTAATTTTATTCAATTTTTATAAATTACAGTAGAACCTCGAAAACTCGGCCTAATGTGGACTGAAGGGTGGCCAAGTTTGTGAAAATGCCGGGTTATTGGGAATGGGGTTAAAAAAATAAGTACGAGTGTTTCCTCAGAAAATATTGTACTGTACTTGTATGTATTGTTTACTTGAGAATATAACAGAGAATAAACTGCCCAAATACCCTTAAACAAAGGAAAACTACGTACTTTATGAAAGCATAGAGCCTTTACTACATGAAAATGAAAATTAATGAATACCCTGTGTACAGTAATTTACCTGATAAGACAGACCTCAGAAAAATACTTTATGAGAGCTATTATACTTTTATAAAGCTGTCTATAATGAAAATTAATTAACTAAGGATTTTNNNACTATTGTATCGTTAAAAATTATTTTTTTATTTTGTACAAACAAAATAAATATATTGAAAAATATAAAAACAATAAAAAATTATACTTCAGATGTTAATTTAGTATCAAAAACGTAAAATATTTGAGTAGCCCAAGACATAGCCAAAGATTGAAGCGCCACTGCACTGGGAAAAATTTAAATTTGCCAACTGGAATTCTTTCGTATGATTGACGTTTCGGATGATTGACTTTCGGAAAATCGACGCTCTACTGTATATCATTTTCAAATATATCGGTTTCTTATATAAATTTAACTTTTCTAATTAATTCTCATATAACATTATACGTACTTACTGATGTAGTATTTATAGAAAGAGCTCAACCGCTCGAAATGAATCCAACAGTAAATAACAATGACAGAATAACTGTAAAATGTTTTCTTTCATACTCCATCCCCACAAAGAATGTTTTGTACAAAAGGTAGTAACACAAGTACAGATACTCCGTGTAATTGAGATCTCTTTCGTTTCTTCATTAATATTGTCATTATATTGCCAAATTTCTACTCTCTCAAAAGCCGCTGTTTAATACAGAACTCGTCTATTTCTATAGACATTTTAAGCAGTTTTTTCTGTAGAATATACATTATTAATATGGCTCCGAAAAACACACCTAAAGCGTGACCAAGAGTACGGAGATTATGAAGTGTATAGAACAACGAAGAGAAACGTTTCGGTAATCGTTCCGTTTTGTTTCTTTATTTCTGTCTATAAAGTATTCCTGGCATAACGGTTGCTACTACTGCTATGATAAATGATAAAAAAAAAGTACAGTAAGCTGATTCGATATAACGCGGTCTGATTAAAGCAAGACTAGAAGATGTTGACGAGCAGGATATTGAGGAGTTACAGCAGATTTCTGGTGATGGCCTTTTCAACGACGACTTTCGAGAACTGGCAGGATATGGATTTCATGTAGAACTGGAAAATAAAGATTTTGAAAACGAAGAACCGAAAAAATATTTCTACACATTTTTTAGTAAAAGTTTTGTAACGATAACCGAAATCGTTGATCAAATTGTAGAGAATGATCCAGAGATTGAGAGGAATGAAAAAGCAAAACGAAGCGTTTTCGACACGATCTTCTGTTGGCGACATTTGCTTAAGAAAAGAAAGCGACAAATGAAATTTTACGAATTTATTGCAAAAATACAAGAATTTCAGAAAAGTCAGGAACGTCGTCACAAAAAATTAACTTTACATTTCTTTGTGCATATGTTTATGTGTTATTTAACATATATTATTACACAAATTAATATAAATCACTTAAACTTTGAGTAAAATATGTTTTTATTTTCTTTTTTTTGATAGAGTGTTCCCCTGAAACTTACGAACTACAGTATACCACCACCAGCCCAAGTGGCATCTAATGGACAGCTTATCTTCTGATTCAACAAGGACCCCTACCCAAATGGGACTGTAAGGAGTCCCTTTTGGGGAGGGGTCTCCAAAAAAGACTCCTTACAGCTTCCTCTTAGTCTTAAAAAAAAAGGAAGTACTAAGGGGTCCCCAAAAGGAACCCCTTACTGCTTCCTTTTTTTTCAAGTCGGCTTCATCTGTTCAACTCCTCAAGGTTTTACGCTATGAGTCTTCTCCTTCCCTGTATATACATACTCTCCCTATATTTCATTCTTATTCTAACTCCTTCATCATCTTTACCCCTTCCTCCCTATTTTCTTTTATGGCTATACCTATGAGTTCGGCTGTACCTTTCCTATGTATGTATGTATATACATACTGTTTTGCACGTGTATACCATAGTATTTCCAAGTGCTATCCAACAGCTCTCCTTTGAAGCTCATGTCCTCCTTTTCCACTTTCAAACCTCCAACCATTTCACCCTCCTAACTTTATCTCAAATCACTCTTCCTCCTTCCTTCACCCATCTTTCTTATCTTTTAAGGCTACACCTTTGAGTACAGCCTTTTCTTTCACATGTATGTATGATAGAGTAAATAGGGATGTTAAAATCTGTTAAAATATACCTAGTTTAACGCTGTTTCGCTTAGTTAACCCTCTGGATATAAGTACTGTACTGTACGAATGGTATTACTATTTAGTTTGTCTTAGTCACCGTTCCGAGTCAGACAAATGAAACGTTTGGTAAGTACTGTAAATATTGTGAAGATACTGATTTTTATATTAATGTTAGAAGTGGATTTAACAATTTGTTTTCATTTACAGATAATGGTCAAAATAGAAAAAGAGTCTCATCAGCAAAGAACAGAATTATGTCAAATATCTGAATGCGGCTCGAATTTAATAACAGAGTCGCCAGAAATGATCTAAATACAGTATATAAAATTACGTGTCCTGACTGACTGACTGTGTCACTAACTGACTGACTGAGTCACTAACTGATTGACTGAGTCACTGATTCATCATCGCCTAGAGCAAACCGCTGAACCTAAAGAGCTGAAATTTGGTACACAGTTAGGGTACGTCACGAAAACGCACATTAAGAAGTGATTATTCGAAATTCCCCCGCGGGGGACAGGGAAAGAATTAAGGCTTAATCTGAAGAACAGCTTCTACTGTACTGTTTTAAATGCGATTATTTTGTTTTCAACTACATTTAGTCTTTATTGAGTACTTAGGTGTATTAAATTGATAACGAAATATATAAAAATATTAATAACAATGATTTTAATATTTTTATATATTTTGACTTTTTAAATATAAAATATTTCTTTGTCATCTCTGCAATGGAGAATACTTGATCCTGGTAATTGGACGTAATAAACAGTGAAGATATGTTTAGTATTTATAATGTAATTTTTACTTTATAAAATAGTAATTGATGTCAATAGTCAAAATGCCAACATCAATTTCAAATAATAATTTGCAATTTTCATTAGCGACTTGAAGAATATTACAATGCAGTAATTGTTTCAGCAGTTTTCAGTCCATTGTATCGCTATAAGAAAGTAATCACAGGTCTGAAAGTTGCGTGTTTTCTCTCAGTCCTACTTCATCGTAGGAAAATGACGATGCAATATAACGTGTAGATAAGCTTCACGTTGCAAGCATTAACACAGGTTATTGTTAATTTATTCAGATGAACTCTAACAGATTTTCACATAAAATATTCTACTCTGTGCTTTTATTCATTTTTCTTATTAGAAATTTATAAAACTCCTATGCATTTATGTAACTCTCAAAGAACATTGTCCTGAATCATTACGAAATTTTCACCTTTACTTTTAGTTTACTCTAAAATACAACACATTTCACGTTATATATACTAATAACATTATTACTTGAAATAGTTTTGCAATTGTCCTAATTATTCTGACATAATTAAACAGGAAATTCCAGCTAATTTAGTAGACTCCTTAATTTACGAATCGGAAAAACTTCGTCCTTACCTTGGTTTGAACGACAACTTTCAATACAATTGGTTTTTCAGAGCACATGTACCTCGATGTTCAATAATTTGTCCAAACATAAATGATGATAATGAAAGAATTCACGTGTTTTACTCTCAGTTGTTGGAATCACAGAGTAAGTTATTTCTAATTTTGAACATTTATTCAATTAATGTAATAATTTATCATGTGTTAAATTACTCACACAAAATACGTAGACTTACCCAGCTCAGACGTGAATGATATCGACATTCTGGAAGTAGAAACGGAAGACGTAGAGTGTCCTTTTCCCATTCCTCAAATTTTCATCCACAGAAGAAAAACACGGAAATAAAGTTATCAATATTTTTAGTTATCCATTCAAACTAAGTGAGAGTGACCCCATATTTTTTTAAACATCAGCTAAAAAGAGGACGAATCGCTTGAAATCACTGCGCCACAGAGTAAACATACTGTTTGAAGATACGAAGTGCGTCATAGCCTACATAGATTACTAGTTAAATTATAATTTTCTTGTAGAAATCACTTAATCGAAGCACCTGTAGAAATGTTTATTACGATTCTGAATTTTCCGATGATTTAGCTGTTTTTAATGTTGATATAGTAAACGTCTCTTCAATCCGAAAAAAATCTTTCCGGTAGACTACCTCACAGCCATTTCAGGTTATAAACTCCTTTTATTGTTTTTGACAGATGCATTTCGAGCTAGGTTAATTTACTAGCTTCTCCTCGGTGCTACAAAATAAATTTTAATTATAAAATTGATATAAAAAAAAACGCGAGTAGATAATGTTACAACAAAATTAAAATACATTTCGTAATACCTTAAGATTTTCATGGGTTTCATATGATCTAATTTTCACACTTATACGATACTTTTAATCCCGTCTACAGTACTTTTACAACCTTATAAAACTACTCAAAGGGCTTGTATCGTGTATTGTAAAAAAGCACTGCTTGCTACCTTATAACATACAAATCATAACATATAGTAACTTTTTA